ACTACAACTGAGACAGCTAACATCTAAGTAATGGACATAAAGACAGTAACTGATGAAAACAGGGATCCATGAGCCCATGGTGATGTAGTAAGTAAAAGAAACTGCAAGTCTGATGAAAAAGTAAATACCTGTAAAATAAAAATAACCTCCAAATACATTAATTAAAGGTGAAAATAGTAACTTTACAGTAGAAACATGGGTTGAAAGACTACCTGAATTAAATGGTCAAAATCACATGATCTTAGCAAGACAAAAATCCTCTTGCCATGTAATGAAAGCTTCCAGGGGTGGCAATCATCTGTGTGGCCAATAAGATGGCATATTATACATGCATTTGGCTTTTGATGGTACAATCATAAAAGATGACACTGGGTGAAGTCAGCTGTTATTTTGTAGGATACTCAAGCATCCTTTAAAAGAAGACTACAGAATGAGGGCCTTTATCTGCTAATATCTAGCACTAATTGCTGGCCATGTAGTAGGTTTAACTTTTTTACTTTTTTAAGTTGAAATATTTATTTATTTATTGTGTGTATATATGCTTGTGTATGTGTGGATATGCACGTAGAGAGCTAGACTTCTCGATGTGGGTCTTGGGGATTGAACTTCAGGTCTCCAGGCCTGGCAACAAGTGACTTTATATCATGAGCCATCTCACAAGCCCAGATGTTCTTATTTTAAAACAGAAATTTCGCTAAAGTATCTCGAGTGTTGAAGCATCAGGTCAGTAACTCCATGTTGAATGGTTTTAGAAAATAGTACTATTTGCCTTATAATTGGAACATGTCTCTGAGATTCTTAAAATTTTTGTTATGTGAAATGAAAAATAGTGCGTTATAAACCGAGCTCTTGGCTTTAAATAGAAACTTGTCATTTTAAAAGGGATACTTCATATCTAACTTTTGTAAGTTTTAGCTAAAAAGGTATTAGCAATCTGCTTTTGATGTACGTTTCAGTGGCTTCCACTGTTACTATTAAAAGACATCTAGTTCTTTGTTATTTTGAACAGTACTATTAAATATCTTTGTTGACATTTCTGTGTCATCATTTAGGTTTTCTTCAAGAATAACTGCCCAGAAATCAGGTTACTGTGTGAATGGGTAATCCATCCTTCAGTCATGTCATTCTAGGAAGCTTCCTACAATGTTTTTAAAAGTAGATGAAATTCATAGTTTAGTAGCTATTCTTCCCCACACTAGAAAGGACTTTCTATCAGAGTAAGAGCTTATCTGTTTGGTTATCACTGTCCTCAACATTATGGTACTGAATATGTATTTGGAGTAGCAATAACTACAAGCCTTTAGTACATATGGGCTCTGCCCTTAGGAGATTAATCCACCTATTCCTCGAATTACTCTTACGAAGTAGGCGATGTGATCATTTCTGTTGGTGAAGAAACTAAGGCACCCAGAGACTTTCACCCCACTCAGTCAGCTAGAGCTAGATACCAGATAGTTTTCCTTCAGTTTCCAAGTAGCCACTGAGTAGATTAGTCCATGAACAAATAGTCAGCATGTCTGTTTAATTCTTTAACCAGGTACAGGTTTCAGGGATTTCTTCTTTCTGTGTTCAATGGAGCTATTGAGAACAGTCAACGCTCTCTAAGATCTCACTTCATCTCACGGTCCTGCAGTGCGGCCCCGACTTACTACCTAATGATCTGCTTCTAGAATTAATATCCACACAGACATAAACTATAAATCATCCTTACCCGGTGAAATTAAGGAGATATAAACAGTAGATGTGCTTTGTCTTGCAGAGCAAATGGTGCATCTGGACTTCCTGTCTCCAGGAGACAGAGCTTTTATTACTGTCCCTCAAACACATCATTTCCTCTGCCCCCACCCCCACCCGGGCCCTTTGCTCCTGCGGTCCCCTGTACTGGGAATGCCCAGGCTGTGCCTTCTGCTGAAGATGCTGTTGAACTTCTCTTTTACTTTCATCTTGAAGATGCCTCCATTTCTCAGATCCTTGAGTCTCTTTTATGCTCTTCTCTAGGAAGAGTTCTTCCATCAGTTGTGTGAGATTCTCATTTCCTTAGTAAATTATTTTCCCTTTTTAGCTCTAGTCATCTTATAAGCCCAAATATGTATCATAATGTCTTGTGCAATATACAAAGCTAAGGATTTTGAATGAATAAATGTGTTATCTCAGGAACATATAATTTGAAATTTAAAAATTTTTAAAATAAAAAAATGTGAATATTTCATTCAATTAATAGGAATATTTCATTTTTGCACATTAATAGGAATGAACAGGAAATAAAAATGAAATGGTAATGGTCAAACATTTTTTCCTTTCATAGTATAATTTTCACTCCATCTTTGAAAGGTTTTAAGGCTCACCATTAGCTTTCTTTTCTATAATAAAAGGCATTGTATTTATGGTTGAAGATGTTATCCTCACTTCTACCCACAGCTTCAATTCTCTTCTTTGTAAGTAGTGGTTGAGGTACATCAAAGGTAATAAAATCAATTGAACGGTTAAGTGGAGTTTTATTTCCAAGGCTAGTACTTAAGAATGTGTTCCCATTACGGAATTTTAATAATAAGTTTGTTTTCAAGTGTTTTCTTTAATTCCAAGCCTCCTTGGCTGCTAAAGCAAGGCCTGTCCTTGAATGCGGTTCTGAATGAAATAGAATTCCCTTTCTAACGTATATATTTTTGAAAAGAAAGCTTCGGGGATACTCTGCGTTCTCATTTGACAGTGCAGTACTTGGTTGGGAGCAAAGACAAGAATAGCACAGCCTTCCACACCAGCACAACCATCCCCAGCAGGCCAGACAGAGCTGAAGGGTTTTGTTGCTGGTCTCAAACAGGAAGCCAAAGGCAAAGAAACAAACAATATCAGTCTTTTAAAAATGTCGTTGCTGATGTAAATCACCTGTGATCCTTGGGTGCTGGCGAGCCCCAAGCGTCCCTGGGGTAGTTGGATATTAATTTGTAGCTAATTTATATTTGGTGTGTAGTGTTTAACGTAGATAATACTGGCCATGATGACTATTGTTCAGTATGCAGTTAGTATTTATGTTCTTAATTTTACACACACACACACACACACACACACACACACACACACACACACACGTCTTAGCTTCAGTATATCCTGATTCCTAGAGGGCAGTTCAGAGGCTAACATACTATTGTGGTATTGTGGAGAATGTCTAAGTTATCCAGTTGTCTTTCATTTATTTATTGGTACTAGCAATTGAACTCAGAGCCCCCAGCTTGCTAAAGGAAAGTTGTACCTTGAAGCCGGTGTCCCGCAGCCCCTGACTCATGCTATACGTTATTTATTCATCAAATCAACGGATTTGGTATTGTTTGAGCCATCTTCTATTTATGTATTAAAATGAGGATTTAGAAGTCTATTTTATAGAGGTTAGTTTCACAATGTGAATGATATATTTTAAATTAATATTGACTATCCTTTTCAGAGTCAATACATAATCTGACAAACGTTCAGAGCAACTGGTAAAGTCAAAGCTTGATTACTTTAGGGTTTACTCTGGTTGAGCTTGGGAGGTCACACTTTTTCCATGTGGCTTCTGCAGACACCAGAGGGAAATTTCCCCTAAGCCTGAAGGCCCCTTGAAGAAACTGGCTAAGATTAGCCTAAGGAAAAAGCATGCAAACTTAGGCACTTGCAAAAGGGGTGGGAAAGGGAATCACGGTATCGGGGCCAAAGATATGATTTTGACTATCCCACCAGCCAGAAATATTCAGAAGCATGCCTCTTTTTCTGTAAGAGAGGTGGTATTCACAGAATGTGGACAGTAAAATTTTATTGAGTATAATTAAGGCTCCAGAAAACAATCTCTTTGGTATTTGCAATTGCCTGGGACATGATCTGGTCCTGGGAGTCTGTCTGGTAGGGTTGCATTCTTGCTTTCCATAGTGAGATAGTTGGGTTTCAGACTGAAAGGGAAAGCCAGCTGTACGTGTCTCTTTCTGCAGCTGCGTAATCATACCTGGGGGAGGGAGGAGTGTGTGGAGAGGAAGAGGAAACGTAAGAGGACCTTGATCTAGAACCTTCTTTTAAAGTTGTTAATTTCCTTTTATTTCTTTTCTCATTTTAACAGCCCTCGTTTTACAGTATCCTTCCCTGAGCCCTCACCTCTCCTGTTCATATTGATGGGAAGTTCTTCACCACCGTCTTCATAGATCTACTTGATTTGGAGGACGGCTATGATCCTCCCCTCTCCACTCCCCACCCCTTTCTAATTCTGTTATCAGTTCCTCAACTTTATTTAGGAGAGCGCCTCTTTGGGTATACATGCTGTTATCAGGAAGAAATCATTGCCTTGTATATTACATGCCAGATTTTTAATGGGCATGTGCAAAGCACATATCATGTTAACTGTAGAGTTTTAGATTGTTTTAAAGTAATTCTGAGAACTTGGGCAATTACTTACCGAGAAATGCTTGTGCAGGCAGGGGGTCGCCCCCTCTTTCTCTTCTCATCTGTAGCCCTGCGGTGCATATACATGAAATGCCTTTGTTCTCGTCTTTTCTGCCTGATTATTATGGTCTCTAAGTGCTTTGTTTTCGCCCCTCTGGTATATTCCTTGTGATTGAGTAAATAACTTTGTTTACATCGAACCGAGGTCTGGAGCACTTTTTTTGTGTGAGATGAGAGAGATAGAGGGGAAAAAAAAAAAGCCTTAGAGTGGGGTGGATTGGAGGGAAAAGCAGAGGGAAGAAATGGGTAAAAATTAAACAACAGTAAAATAATTTAAAACAAAAAAAGCACAAAAACAAGCCAGGAGTGGGTGTAGGGGAGGAGGAGCAAGCTAAGGCAGGACAGGGGCTTCTCTTGGGGTCTGTGAAGTCGCAGGGGGCTTGTCGCGGGGGTGGAGAGAGATCAACAGACCAGCATTTTCCCCAGGCTTGGGCGCAAGCTTGTGAAACTCCTCGTGTATTAAAGAACCTCGGCTGGGATTTGCTGAGGACAAATGCTGTAATGTGTTAGTCATCCATTATCGGCTTCTATTTTTGCAGGTTCCGAATGATGAGTGACGCGGGTCTGCGTGATAGCCCTCACAGCCCCTGTCATTGCGAGCGATAAGGACCTCGCACGTCCAGCAGCCGCCCCGGGCTCAAGGCGCTCTGGAGGGCGGGCGGCTCCCGCGGGCGGAGCGGACTCCAGCGCCGCTTCCCACGCACCGGGACCAGATCCCGGGGACCCGGCTGGCCGCGCGTCGCCCGGGGCCATGAAGTAGCAGTGGCCGCCAGCCCTGCCCTCCCGCCGGTCCGGCTGCTGCCCGCTGCCCGGCCCCAGCTCGGACATGGCCGGACGCGCCAGCAGCGTGCTGCTGGTGCTGCTGCTCGCCTTACAAGGCAGCTGCCTGGCCTTCAGAAGCCCACTTTCTGTCTTTAAGAGGTGCGTGTTTGGCTTGTTTGTTTCCTTTACAGGAGGAAGGTGCTTGGGGTGGTTTTGGTACATGCTCCTTTAGAAATGTAGTCACTGTGGTAACCAGGGTCCTGGGGAAGGGAAGTCTCTACAAGGTTGGTTTTTTTCCTACCCCAAACGATTTGGAATTGTAGCCTTAGTAACTTCTGAAGTGCGCCTTGCCGATAAAGCCCATTCCTCGTCCTGTACCCTGGCTGCTACCCTGGCTTTTGGAACTCCAATTAGAAGTTGTGACTTTCAGAACTAATCGCTCCCTCTTGGGGAAATATTTCAGAAACTATCCAATAGCTGTTTAGACATGAATGCCTTCCTGTATATAACAGCTGGAGGAATAAAATATCAAGATAGATCGGTGGTGGGGAGATCATTGCCTGTAATAGCTCACTAGGAAATATCGAGCTGTATACACGCACCTCGTAATTACCATATGAAATATTTATGTACTTGTACATTTGTAATTCACATCGCAGTCTTTATTTCTTCCTCACGTAACTGTTCTTAGCAAGATTGTGGCTAGGGATGTTTTGTTGTTTGCTTCTGATTGGTAATGTTGGACCCTCATGGTTGACAGAATGTTACTGGGTTATAGTCCTACCGCTAGAAAAATCAATGTGCGTGTGAGGATGATAACGTCTTCATTAAGTAGAAATAAATATGTATTACAGGCTTTTATTGAGCTGAACTTTAAGTGTGCCCTGCTTATTCGCTTTGATTGTCTTTTGCCTACAGATTGGCTCTATGTAGCTCATTGCTAATAACGGGATTCTGGGTGACGAGGCTGTTAGAGAGTTGTTACCTTCTAGTTTTTATTGGACCTACATTAAGGCGTCCTTAAACTTTAGGCCATAGGATTTATTTCTGCCTTTCCAATTATGTTCAAATTATCTTCTTCAGATTTAAAGAAACTGCCAGATCATTTTCCAATGAATGCCTTGGTACCACCAGACCTGTAACTCCTATTGATTCATCAGATTTTGCACTGGATATCCGCATGCCTGGGGTTACACCTAAAGAGGTGCGTGGAATTCTGTACTTCATTATTCAGCTCTTCTGTGCACTGTCGAACGTTAAAGCTAAAACAAGGAGCCTGCGCTTGGAGCTGGGCTGACTTCCTGGCTTTCCAGACTCCCCGGCCGGCCGAGGCTGGAGTACTGGAAAAGGGGTAGGGCTGCAAGGCACAATAGTCAGTTATGCTTATTAGAGTGTTGCTCCTTTTGTCATTGTGATTTGAAATGGAAACTTGAAAGTTTACACTTTGGGATTCTCTGTGGAGAGATGGCCTCTGAAACAGAACATCTAAATATGCACTAAAATATGGAAAATGTTTTAATGAAGGGAATAACATGAGCAGCTGCATCAACCAGATTACTGTGCTTTTTTTTAAAAAAAAAAAAAAAAAAGAAAGAAATACCCTTCCAAAACAATTAACATAGAAAATTCTGCTTGCTGCCAAGAATTTGAAAAACAAAGCATTCCACAGTTTGGAAAGTTGGGGAAACTATTCATACAGGTGGCAGAGTGAATTTTCTAGAGATAATTTTGGAAGAAGCAGAGGCTCTGCTCACCCGAATGTGTCATCAAGCATGTGAAGCTGAGCAAGGTTGCTAGGCATCCCATGTCTCAGCACACACAAGACGCAAAGACACGCTGCCATGTATGCAAGGTGTTTCATTTAGCATGAAAAGGCCAGAATTAATTACGCTCTGCAGCCAGCCAGAGTGGGGATTTATGTATGTCATTAAAAGATAGCCCCGTGCTGTTGAAGCACCACAGACTGGGAGAGGCCTGGACCTGGAAGAGCTGCAGTGGCTGGTGACTCATTCTTGCGGATAATGTACTATTTCCTTTTTTTCCCTTTTAGCACTGGGAAAAGAAAAGTATTCTATTTATTGAGGAAAATGGACAACCAGGAGCTCTAGACTTTTACTTCAGGGTAAAACCTGACAGTATTTGAAGACTTGAGTGTTGTTGTCGATAACTACTTTACAGCTATATAAGAAATGACCCTCTCTGTCTCTGCATCCCCGTGTCACTTTACAGATACCTCTTCTATACATTCTGTTATTTCTGCCCCGACCCAGAATTTCA